AATATTTTTTTATTTTTAGAGAAATTAGCAGTTAATTTGACAGCTGTCAACTGTCAACAAAATACTACGATGATGTATTTTTAATATAATCGTAACAGCCCTTCTAATTTTTCGCGTAAAACATAGCTTCTCCGACCACTGTGCGACGTTAAGATGAAGTCTCTACGATAAGCAGAACCCGAGATATAACGATTTGAAGAAGTATATGATTAGTCATAATCACGAAAAAATTCAAACTTTGAGATTTTTTTATTTTTAGAGAAATTAGCAGTTAATTTGACAGCTGTCAACTGTCAAACCAAAAATTGTATGGCATATTCAGATTATGCATAACAAAAATACTACGATGATGTATTTTTGTTATAATCGTAACAGCCCTTCTAATTTTTCGCGTAAAACATAGCTTCTCCGACCACTGTGCGACGTTAAGATGAAGTCTCTTCGATAAGCAGAACCCGAGATATAAGGATTTGAAGAAGTATATGATTAGTCATAATCACGAAAAAATTTAAACTTTGACAGATCACATCTCCGAAGAAAAGAAAAAAAATCTCCTCGAACACGTGTTAGCTTATTTCATGTATAGAACCCACAAAAAAAAATTTTAGCGAATCGAAGACATGACAATTGTTTTTTACGAAATCCGCCCGACTTAAAATATAATGGCTCACATATGTTAGTGTTGGGTTGAACCGGGCTTGAACCCAGATCCTGGTAGCGTGCACTGCCAACCACTACACCACAGCGGCCGCACGTTAGAGATTGGCGTGGTCAAAAAATGTCTTTTTGGCTTTATGCAATGTTAGCATTAAAATAATTTTTAAAAAGGTGGCAACCCTACAAAAAAAAAAAGTTGTTGTACATACGAAAGCCATGCCCTTTCATATTTTTTCCTCGTCCTTCCATTGATATTTTGGGTTTACTTTTTCTGTCTTTTGCATTTGCGTTTTGCTTCTATCTTCAGTTTAGCGCGAGATTTCATTGAGTTAGCGTCGCGAATTTTC